ACCCGGCCAAAGTATACGTCTTGGCTCAAAGTCTCCAAACAAATGTTTATCCACACCCTAGGCAGTTCCAACCGGGAGTGAAAAAAAATCGAAATTCCATTCCATACAAATTTCGGGGACCGGTATCTCGGTAACTATTGGAGATAGGTAGATCGTGTTCGAACGAATATTCTAGAGGGCGACAGGATCTAACTAGCTATTGAAATTATTTTTTCAAAATGGCCGATCGAAGATGGCGGCCCGACAAAAAAGTGCTCCGATCCGGCTGAAATTTAACATTTTTCCATATCTGGGTGACAGTAATACGTATTTGCGGTCAAATTCCTGATTCCGCCATTTTCCAATATGACCGCCATACATTTTCCACGGTCCCCTATGTTACGAGGACTTTGTCTCGGGGAGTATTGGAGATAGATGAGAGGTGCTCAAACAAATGTCGTACGAGCCAACTGCAGGTTAAAAATAATTCAAGATGGTGGGCTCAAAATGGCGGTCCAAAATAAAAGTGCACCGATCTGACTGAAATTTGACATCCGGTCGTGTATGGAGGCTCATAGTATGTATCTGCGAACGAAATTTGGATTCCGCCATTTTCCAAGATGACCGTCAGACAAGTGAATTTTCGGTTTTTTGACCACATTTTTCTCCCAGAAAAAGAGCGGGTGTATAAGAGTGATGTACGTAAAAAAAGTACCAAAACCTTCGAAAAGTGCTCCGTATCAGGTAGGACCCAAGCTGCCCTTCCAAAGTAAAAAAAAAAAAGTCTTAAAGTCTCAAAGTCTCCAAACAAATATTTATCCACACCCTAGGTAGTTTCTACTGGAAGTGAAAAATATTCTAAATTCGAAAAACAAAATGGCCGCCATATAAATTTCGAGCTAGGTCTCCGTACTAAACGATCCGGTGAAAGCATCAGAGATGGGTATATGGCTTTCAAACGAAATTTGTCAAGGACACTGGGCAGGTTCTACCGGGATCAAAAATTTTCAAATATAGAGAAACTAAGATGGCCGCCATACAAAATTGAGTTTGTTGAATCTGCAGAAAACTATTGATGATGTACATACGAGTGGTGTCTTACGGGGTATTTAAAAATACGACTTGATGCGATCGTACCTTGGTATACCACGTAATGAAACCTAACAAAAATATCCTGAAACAAAAACTACAACTAGCAAACAATCATAAACCAACACAAAGACATCGCAGGCCGCTTTATCGGCACAGCGCAACGCGCAACATACTATACGTAGGTAGCTCGATTACCATTATCATTTAGGTAATTGTTCTCCCAGAAGGAATAGAGTTAATTTAAAATTATTTACGGGATTAGTGGTCGCAAAGGTTCAGTGAGTACGAGAAAATCCGGAAATGTTCGAATAGTGCTCGGCATCAGGCGGGACAGAGGCTGCTCGCCCAAGTATCGGGATGGGCACATGGCTTTCAAATAAAAGTTGTTAAGGATCTTGGTCAGGTTCTACCAGAACCGAAAGTGTTCCGATATGACGAATTCAAGATGGCCGCCATACGAAATTGATTATTTTGAATATTGCTCCCTTCCATCCAACCAAAGAGGATTCTCCACTGAAATATGAAGTCTAACTCCCAACCTGTCACACAAATGTCAAAGAACGCCCTCGCGGGCGGCTTTAGCGGCCCGGCGCAACGCGCGCCATCTAGTTATATATATAAAGCTACAAGTTCTTATTCACTGATAGAAATAGAACACATACTTCCCGATATGGTGGAAAAAAATATTTATACCGTTGTCCGCGGATAGGCTCCAAAGCAAATAATCAAACATGAGAGGACCTGAATATGGAAAATATGAAATTGTGATGAACGGCCTGCAAAAACTATAATATATGGAGGGAATATTTGTGCATTGTTATGTGGTACACCCTAGTCAGTTTCCGCGGGAAGTAAAAAATGTTCGAAATTCAAATAAACAAGACAGCCGCCATACAAATTTCAAAGACTCCTATCACGGAGACTATTAGAGATAGGTAGGAGGTGCTTGAAGAAATGTCTTAGAGGGTAACACTGGTCAATTGTCTGGGTTAAAAAAAATCGAGATGGCGATTTCAAAATGGCGGACGAAGAAAAACTTACTTCAATCCGGCTGATAATTGGCATGTGAAGGCCTCCAGAAATAATTTTTGATCAAAATTTGTTTTTCGCCATTTTCAAATATGGCCGTCATAGAAGCGTTCGTTGGCGTCAGAAAAAAATGGCACATGGGCGTCACTAGGAGTTCTTGATAATAATTTGTGACCAAAATTGGATTCTCGCCATTTTTGAAAATGGCCAATCAGGCGTTTATAAAAATTAGCTCTAATGCACCTGAAAATCGGTATGTCGGTATCAGTATGAAAATCTCTATAGGTTTTTGATAATAATTTGCGGTCAAAATTTATTTTTCGCCTTTTTCAATATGGCTGCCATACAAAGTCTTTTAGCGGCAGATAAAAATTTGCTCTAATTCGATTGAAAATGGAAATGTCGGGGTCTTTATGAGTGTTTAATAATAAATAGCGGTGAAAATTTATTTTTCGCTATGGCTGCCGTACAAACTTTTTTGGCGATAGATAAAAATTTCTTCTAATTCAACTGAAAATGGCATGAATACCAAAAGAACAATAACCCAGAATACTCAGACAAAAATCAGCTTAGAAATGTTCGTTTCTTAAATTGGCCCAAATCGGGAATCGACCTCCCCATCAAGCGCTCATAGTAGTGCAGTGCCACCGAAGAGCATGAGCACACCCTGTAAACTGAACCCGATCACTCGCCATAGACCAAGCCCGACACCACCCTAGGTGGGATACAGGGCTCGTTTTATATGGAAGTTTACTCGTATCACGTCTGAGTTTCAAAATGACCACCAATCTTCGTTGTGGTAATTATAAAGTTCCACGAGTGTGAATAGTGCCTTGTTCGTCTACAAATTGTTTACGATTCGATTGGCTAGTAACCACTCGCAAAAAGCTCGGTGGGTATATGCGACAACGTCGTTCAAATTGCTAGAGCTATTGGTTTCAAATCGTATTTGACTAAAGCGAAAGTCTAGTCTAGAAAGTTTCGTCGTTGACTAATGCGAAATCAGCGAACTACATCTCTTGTTGTAGTTCTATCTCGGAAAAATCGGAATTTTTTTCTTCTATTTCGGTAGGCTTTCGAAGATGGCCATCTCCGTACGCGTGACTTGTTAATCTCACTATGGTTAAGAAATTGTTGATTCGCTACAAAAATTGTGTATAGGTGAGCAACCATGGGTTACACTAAGTTCTGAATTTGTAGGCGGGGAATGTTGTCCATCTCATAAGGTCTGTGAGTTTCGTAAAGGCTCTTACCACCTTCTTATGTGTACATGAAATTGAAATGAAACATGAAAAGTAGAGTTTTTTGAGCACCCTATATAGTATGGCACTGGGTAAAACAGTGCAAATGATACCCAAACTTACGAGAGAATTAAATTTGGGCCATACAAATATTTCTTCCAGCCCGGGAATTGAACCGGGACGTCGGCGTGGCAAACTAGCGTGGTAACCATTTGGCCACGGAGGCAGTTAATATGACAGTATACATCTGAAAGTGGCGTATTTAATCTACCAAGCCCTGAGCTCGTAGACGGGAGACGCTCTCTATTACATGGTCTTCGAGCTTCGTGAAGACTCCGACTACGTCCCATAAAACACGGATCACTCGTAATACTCCCGCGGAGAATACATTGTTACGCAATAAAATACGTCACTTCACTGGGAACAATGACACACGAATACTAGCCATACCTGCGCCCGCGTCGTCGCGACACGGTGGCGCCAGTCATGGCGACACCAGGAGCTCGAGTTTTATTTACTATTTTAAGGCAACCACATGTTAGAAATTATTAGGAAATAAAAGTAGCAAATAAATAGGATTTTTTAAATTTTATTTTACTAATGTGTTGTATTACTGAATCTTTTGCACAGGAAAAAAATGGACAGTGATTTCTTTATCACCCTGTATAATATTGTAATCGTAGTTGTCTGTAGATTTGTAGCTCTATGCGACTTACAATGTGCTTACTAGAGGTGGGCGTTTAAACGTAAAGCACTTAAAAAGTCTGCTTTTTAAAATAAGCGCAAAAGCACGCTTTTCATTTTAAGCGTAAGCGTTGGTCACTGGTCAGTTCTATAGGGACTCAACAATTTCATTTTTTACCGTGTCTTCAACGTGCTTAAGTTTCAAGTAGCGCCATCTATGTTTTCTAAACAAAATAATTCAACATAACGTTGCAAGCTTTTTTAAACATAAAATATATGCGCTTAAACGTTTTTCTAAACGACTTTTTAAGCATCAAACTAAAAAGCTAAATGCTCAAGTCAGGATCTGAGTATGATTTCAAGCACTAGAAATCATACTCAAGTCCCTGCCATTAGGGTTGTATTTCCGGTGCTTGAAATAGTTGTAGAGTTCTGGATTACGATCCTGAGGGTCGTATTCTAGAACTCTATTCAATGCTCAAGTCAGGATTGCACTGGCAACACAAGCACTGGAAATACGACCCTAATGGCAGGGACTTGAGTATGATTTCGAGTGCTTTAAACCATACTCAAATCCTGACTTGAGCGTTGAGTAGAGTTCTAGAATACGACCCTAAAGGGTGTATTAATAAATAAGCAGTTTTGCCCATCTCTAGTGCTTACACTAAGGTCTTTTCCACACATATAAGGGACGTGGACCGGCCGTGCTTCGTCAGGGGCTTAAAAATGTATCGTTGCGTGTATTTTGTATGAACTCGTTCACACATGTCCGTGTCCGGGCCGATCCCGGGACGGGCCCGCAGTTCATACAAAGTAGCACGCCCTGTCCACGTCCCGGGCACGGCCCTGATGTGTGTGGATAGTCTTTTAAGCAACTTAAGCAAAAACAAAAAAGGCTCAAAGCAAAGACGCCGAGCCGTGAAAATTGAATATAAAATCCACAAAATTGTTTATGTTTCAGAAAATTGTCAATTCATCGCGTATTTTGTGCCCATTTCACAAAGAGTAAACGATTTTATTGATAGAAAAGATAAAAATTTATAAATCATACGAAAAGTGAATACTCTACAAAATGAATATCACATCAGCTGCGGGGATTATATCCCTGCTCGACGAGCCAATGTCAGAGGTGAAGGAATTCGCTCTAAAGAGGTTGGACAATATCGTCGACGAGTTTTGGCCGGAGATCTCAGAGTCCATCGAGAAAATTGAGATATTACACGAAGACAAAGTATTTTCGCAGCATCAGCTCGCCGCCCTGGTGGCCAGTAAGGTGTATTATCATTTGGGAGCCTTTGAGGATTCGTTGACATACGCACTTGGGGCTGGTGACTTGTTCGACGTGAACGCCCGGAATGAGTATGTGGACACGACTATCGCAAAGGCTATCGACTTCTACACGCAGAAAAGGAAGGCGTTGTTTGTGGACAACAGTGCTGAAACTATCGACCCTCGGCTAGAGGCCATCGTGAATCGCATGTTCCAGCGCTGTGTAGACGACGGCCAGTATCGGCAGGCGCTTGGCTTAGCACTCGAGACCCGCCGTATGGATATTTTCGAAGAGTCTATCATGAAATCTGATGATATATCAGGTCAGTGTCTTCAAATTTCTATTTATATATATCATGATGTTGAATGATTTGCATTTATTAGTTTTTGTATTCCTCATTGTAATTTCGTTAAGTAAGTATTCTAAGTAGAAAAGTGTACAATTCCATTCCTAATGAAAACTTGACGGAATCGGAAAACCCTTGTTGTTTATGAAGTAATTTTTTATCAATAGCTTTTCACTATAAATAAAGTTAATTGAGGATTACAATGATATTAAGTTATAATACAATTATTAAATATTTGTTATTGTGATGTTTTCCAGGAATGCTTCAGTACGCTTTTACAGTAGCAATGAGTCTTCTTCAGAACAGAGGCTTTCGCAGCACAGTGCTCAGGTCTCTGGTGGGTCTCTACAGGGGTCTCAACATCCCAGACTATGTGAACATGTGCCAATGTCTCATCTTCCTTGAAGATCCTCTCTCAGTTGCTGAAATCCTTGACAAACTGACACATGGTCCACAAGAATCAGTTCTAATGGCTTATCAAATAGCATTTGACTTGTATGACTCTGCAACACAGCAATTCCTCGGCAGAGTTTTACAAGCTCTGAGAAGCACTGCACCTGTCCCCAGTGCCCTTGGTGGCAAACCTCAACCACAGGGTGGACCATTTCCTGAATCAGCAATGGAAGTTGATCAGGCACCTGCTCCTGCTGAAGAAGCTGCAAAGAAACCTGAAAGAGACATGGACAGTCTAAATGATGAAGAAAAAGAACATCAAAAGAGAGTCGAAAAACTAATTTCTATTTTGGGTGGTGATGTTTCAATAGGCTTACAGTTGCAATTCTTGATTAGATCAAATCATGCTGATTTGCTTATTTTAAAAAATACTAAAGATGCAATCAGGGTTTCAATTTGTCACACTGCAACAGTTATAGCCAATGCATTCATGCATGCTGGAACAACAAGTGACCAGTTTTTAAGGGATAATCTAGAGTGGTTGGCAAGAGCCACCAATTGGGCTAAATTAACAGTCACAGCATCTCTTGGTGTAATCCACAGAGGTCATGAAGGTGATTCTTTGGCTCTCATGCAATCTTACTTGCCCAAAGAAACTGGACCATCATCTGGTTATTCTGAAGGAGGTGGACTTTATGCCTTAGGTTTGATTCATGCCAACCATGGCGCTAATATCATTGATTATCTTTTAACCCAACTAAAAGATGCACAGAATGAAATGGTCCGCCATGGTGGTTGCCTTGGTTTGGGCTTAGCTGCTATGGGTACACACAGGCAAGATGTGTATGAACAGCTCAAGTTCAACCTTTACCAGGATGATGCTGTCACCGGTGAAGCTGCTGGCATAGCCATGGGAATGGTTATGTTGGGATCAAGGCATGCTGCCGCTATTGAAGATATGGTGGCCTATGCGCAAGAAACACAACATGAGAAGATTTTGCGAGGCCTAGCTGTCGGTATCGCTTTTACAATGTATGGTAGACTTGAAGAAGCAGATGCACTTGTGCAACAATTATTGCGAGACAAAGATCCACTTTTGCGACGTGCTGGATGCTATACTATTGCTACTGCTTACTGTGGTACAGGAAACAATGATTCTATTCGTACTTTACTTCATGTTGCCGTTTCTGATGTCAACGACGATGTGCGCCGTGCTGCTGTCACAGCTCTTGGCTTCTTGCTCTTCAGAACACCTGAACAATGTCCTTCAGTTGTGTCTCTTCTTGCGGAATCGTACAATCCTCACGTACGCTATGGTGCTGCCATGGCTCTGGGCATCGCCTGTGCTGGCACGGGAAACCGCGAAGCCATTGGCCTTTTAGAACCCATGGTCAAGTTTGATCCTGTCAACTTTGTGAGACAAGGAGCTTTGATTGCATCAGCTATGATCCTAATTCAACAGACTGAAGTACTGTGCCCTAAAGTTACATATTTCCGACAATTATATGCTCAAGTAATTTCCAACAAGCATGAGGACGTAATGGCCAAATTTGGAGCTATTATGGCGCAAGGCATCATAGACGCCGGTGGACGTAACGTAACTGTTTCTCTCCAAAACAGAACTGGCCACATGAACATGCTGGCAGTAGTCGGCATGTTGGTCTTTACCCAGTACTGGTACTGGTTCCCACTTGCCCACTGTTTATCTCTGGCATTTACACCTACTTGTTTGATTGCTCTTAACTCTGACTTGAAAATGCCGCAAATGGAGTTTAAATCTAACGCGAAACCGTCCCTTTATGCGTATCCTGCGCCGTTAGAAGAGAAAAAACGCGAAGAGAGAGAGAGGGTCACTACTGCAGTGCTGAGTATTGCTGCAGCTAGAGCTCGTAGGCGAGCTCACGGCGCAGAAGGATCCGCTGGAAGCGTGTCATCATCATCCAATTCAAAAATGGAAGTTGATGAAGATGAAAAGAAGCCATCAAAATCACCCAATGCTAACATTACTGTTCATGGCAAATCTGACAAAGATACTCCTGGCACTTCTAAGGAAACCAAGAAAGACGAAAAGGAAGGTGAAGAAAAAGAAACTAAAGAGAAAAAAGAACCAGAGCCAACATTTGAAATTCTAAGTAATCCAGCAAGAGTGATGCGCCAACAACTCAAAACCATCTCAGTAGTTGAGGGATCAGGATTTACACCACTGAAAGATGTCACTATTGGAGGCATTGTCATGTTAAATCATTCTGGAGATGGAGAGCAAGTTCTTGTAGAGCCTGTTGCTGCTTATGGACCAAAAGCAGAAGAAGAAAAGGAACCTGAGCCTCCAGAGCCATTTGAATACTTGGATGATTAATTCATTTATCATAAAATTAACGTTTAGCTCTAGGACCATGAATCACTGAAATGTATTGAACAAGTTATAATTTCTCTAGCGTAAAATGTTAACACTACAAGTAATAATAACAGAATTATTGTGTTACGTCAATAAAATGTATTTCTCAATTAAAATTCGTGTTTACCTGCGTATTTTACGTAAAAAATATGACCTTGAATGAAAAATGGGTAGTTTTTTGTTGTCCATCATTGACTTACAAATTTGTCCATGCATTTATCGTTGAAATTTTTTTTGTAACAATTAGGGTTCTTAATAGTGACAATGAAAGAGATTGCTTTTGAGGCCTTTTAGAAAAGACTACTTCAGAGACTGGAGGTTCGAGTTTAACACTAACAGACTACGACTGGAGTTGTTTTTGAAAAGACTCCCCTTAGTCATGCAAACACTGAATGAATGAATGAAACAGCTCAAGCTTTTAGGCTTAAGCAATGGGGTTATACCTCTTCAAATCTGAAGTTATTGAACCCGAAGATATTGAAAATTATATAATAATATTAGGTTGTATGTAATAGATAATAAATGAAAATGAAGTAACATGTTTATATGTATTTATTAAAAACAACTATTAATAAAATTAAATCAACCTTTTGGAGTACAGTCAAGCTTGACACTCTGTATGCATACTTTGGACCGTTCATAACGCAAGCTGCATAAAGTTTGATTTCAGTCATAAGAGTCAAGCTTGAAGTGCTTTTGATCCTGTACATACCTATGTTTTTAGCTTAGAGGATGGAAAAAAAAGTTTTTACTCCTTGGGTACGTACAGGGTTAAGAGCACGTCAAGCTTGACACTTAAGACTTAAATCCAACTCTATGCCGCATGCCGCTTACGATAAGAATGGTCCAAAGTGCAAAGAGTCAAGCTTGATATGCTCTTGACTGTACGTATGTTACAATACACATACTCTGAATAATTAATTATTAGGCTTCTGGTTTAGCCAAAGCCTCAATAAATTACAAAAAAACAATCTGACAGTTGGCTGGCTCATCATTGTCAAAAATTTTCAAGGTTATTCGATCGCGTGGTGCTTAATTTTCTGTTTAGTTATTTTGTAATAATCAAGGCATCAAATTTTGCAATATAATAACTTGAACAGAAAAATTATTCCTCGTAGAACAGTATTGGATCAGAATGGATTGGGATCTCAAATATGGGGAGCTATCTAAGGACGCGGATTTCGTAAACAATTGTGAGAATTTGAAACAGAATTTAATCGAAGTGCAAAAAGTTTTGGATCAGCTGCTCCCGCTCAAGGAACATTATGACAAACTGGCACTGCCCGCGCAGATCGAGCTCGATTTGTTCCTCGCATTTGCCTTAAACTCGCTGCATTGGATTAATTTGAGGATACAAGGCATCGATCCAATGAAACATCCCATAAAAGATGAGCTCCAACGAATAAAAGCTACGATGGTCAAGTGGCAGGAAGTCAAGGACCGTGAGAAGAGGCCCACAGTGGATATAGAAGCGGCGAAACGGTTTGTTAGAAGTGGCCTTTATGATCCTTACAAAGCTACAGCCAAGCCACAGAATAAAAAGATACGATTTGAAGATAATGACGATTAGTTACTAAAATTCTTGTATGCTTAAGTTGTAAGTCACTGTAAAGACTGAAGAGTTGTTGAGAATTGTTTGTTACAGCATGGTATTGTTTGTAGGTCTCTTAAGTTAGGCTAGAGTTATTTATACTGATTTCAGGGGTGTTACCTTGATCATCTCACATTCTTTGTTTTGTAATCACTTTGGTATGTTTGTAATGCATTAATTTTAATTCTGTACATATAACAAAAATAAGGGTTAGATTAAATAAATTACTTTGTGTAAATAAATGAATGATTTAATTCCTTTAACACCAAATCCACGTCACATTTTTTAGAAATACAACAAAATTGTTCCATTAATTAAATGGTTACAATGTACAAAATTATTATGACTGATTTGCATCACATAAGAGTCATTTGTCAAAACAATAATCACATGTATGTGCCAATGAATACATAAAAAGTACAGTAAGCATTATACAAACTTCCCATCAAATTTATAGACTAATGTCGATGGAATGGCACAATATAAACATTACAGTAGTATGTAAAACTTAATCATAAATTTATAAATTATTAAATGGAATGAGTGTATAGAAAGTCATAAGATGATTACTTTAAATACCAAGATAATACAATAATGACTTAGATTGATCTCTCGACCTGCAGAACCAGACCTGCTGCTGAGATATTGTCCCCTGCTCCAGCAGTCAACTGTGCCTCCGTACAGATGAGCACAGGTGCCACACAAATGTCCACACTCTCCCCACCTAAGTTCTCCTCCCAGCAGGACACGGGCTTATTGGGTTCAAAAAATACTCTTTTATTATTATCACTACTCTCTTCAGTAGTTGTAGCAAAACTATCATCTAACAAAAGTTTACATTTGTCCAAGGCTATATTATCATTGTTGCACACATATCTATGCGCAGTCAAAGCAGCTTTGGCAGCTGCAGCTTCTGTCCTCTTCCATTTAGACCTTCTGGTGGTCAAGATAGCCTGATATGCTAATGTGTGCACATGAATTCTTGACAATTTCCTTGTGCTTCCTTCTTTTTCATTTTGGCCCCTTATGAGAACAAAAATTTTCCTCATCTGATCTAATGCTGTGGCTATTCTGGGATTTGAGTCTGCCACCACTGACACTTGTCCATGTTCCAGGATATTTAACAGGTTTGACAGTTCCTGTTCATTCATACCAATAGAGTCAACAAAAGGCAGGACCAACCTGGTCAAGTGGTTCAGCAGTGTAAGGTCTACATAGCTGGCCATCTCGAAGTGAATCAAAACTTCTGGGGGTTGTGTAGTTATTTGCTCCTTGACAAGTTCTAGCCTCTGTTCTCGCAGGTCTGAAACAAATTGATTGCAAAGGTGTGAAGCAGTCATAAACTAATGTTTACTTGTTTTTAAATGATAATGAAAGTTGTGTAAACAGGAAGATAAGAAAATGTTTTACTTTTACGGATATTTACTTCTACAGTATGTTTAATATCACTTGAAATTTTCTTGTAATCCAATGATATTGCAAGGAGGGGTCTGATTCTTGAAACTTTAAAATTTTTAAAAAGTAGTTGCTACATCTATGGTCTTTTTGGTATTGAAATCGTTACACCGATTGGTCATTGCATCGAAAGTTTGTTGAATCTACTGTATGCTAAATCAACGGGACAGTAGATCAAAAGTCTCGATTGACATGCTCTACATCGATGGTACACTGCAAAGACGGTACACTACATTGATAGTAGCTCTGAGAGTACTGTATTGATCATACATTAATTACACAAATATACAACGGAAACCAAATTTTTCCATTATGTACTATTTTTACTTAAGAATTAAGGTTGGCTGAAAAGGTGGTTTTGCTAACAATTGATTTTAAATTTTTTGGAAGGGTATGCTATAAGTACTTAAAAGTTTCCATTATATATTTTTGTAATCAATGTATGATTGATATAGAACTATCATTGATGTAGTGTACCATCGATTCAACAAACTTTCGCTGTAACTACCAATCAATGTAAAGTTTTCAACACAAAGACCATTGATGTTGCGACTTTTGACATTGTAAATCTGACCCTGCAAGGAGAGTCAACATTAAAAAGTGTAAGCTGACCTATTCCATTGCTTTTAACAGGGAAATTATCCATCATCTGCAGCCCACCAATGACTAGCAAATTAGCACCAAAACTGGGCAAGTTCTCCTTGAACACCTCTAAGGAGCTTAGCAGTGGATTGTTCTCATCATTGTGTATTATGTATCTGTTAGCTCGGGGTGCTGAATATATGCCAAATTCTTCATCAGCTTTGTATTCAAGGATCATGTGAATGTCATCCTTGATTTGCTCATTGTCCAATGCACCAACTACTTTGATTCCTTCTGGAATATATTTCTTCAGTGTGGCACTCATCTTGGCAGCAAGAAGGACCCTACAGCCTTCGAGGAAGAACCTACGCGCCATTAGCGGGGCGTTGCCGCCTATCGCCCAACGCGTATCTGGCAGATTCAGTGCTTGCTTTATTAACTCTTCATATAATTTGCTGTTGGACATGAAACGCCTGAAAAATAGAATAGATACAATTAAAGTTTTAACTAGGACTTTTTTTATTGTTCACGCTCATAGTGAGAACTAGCGATGGGCGTTATTTAGTGTAGATAGTTTTCAACCGATTTATTTGGCTTCACAACCGTCACAAGTTTTCTAACTCTGCAAAACTATATATTTTTCACAACACCCTGTTAAGATTGTCACTGTGTTTTTGACAACCATCACTTGTTTTGTAGTGATTTTAAAGTGTTGCTATCTCGCAATGCTCTATAATCATGCAATAGATGTTGTCGTTGTGGTTGGCGACGTAGAGGCAACGGTAAGACCGAGTAAGAAAGGATAGGAAACATCCTGTTTGCACAAGTACGAGGTTGAATAATGTGTTTCGTTGTTGCATAATGTCACTTTTGAGTGATGAATGAAAGTTGTTATTAGAATAAATAACTCTTGGAAATTTTAAATTTTTGAACTTTTGACCTAGTCACGTGTAACTCCAGGGTCCAATTTCTTTTGCGATTGTTGCTTTTAAATTTGAAAACGAATTCATTACTATGTAGTAATGAATTAGTTAGCTTGTAATCGTGCATGGTGATAGGCATACTAATTATTTGTTTACTGATCGTAGTAATCCTGTGCTTGTCACGCTATTAAACGTTTTGTCCCTTGCGACGTAGTCGAAGTAGTCAAAAATAGATAGTTTTCTCAATGTTATCTAAAAACGCAAAACGGTTTCATTAGGTTATTTGGCAAAGTCATAACGACACATGAACTGAAAATGAATTTAAAATTACAATCTGTCCTCACTGACAGATTATAATTTTAAAATGCTAGCTCATACAGCAAAATGATCACTACTCACTCAGCTGCCGCGCCATGTTTGAAGAAGTAAGCGAAACTTTTGAGAAATTCGTCTTTGTTGGAGATCTCGTTGAAGTTTCTTGGCTCACCGGCAAGCATGCGGTGGTCCAGCAGCGCCGTGGCGTTCACGAACAGGTCGTGACAGGCGCCGTAGCCTAGCGCCACGCGCGGCTGCCGTTCCCCCAAAGCAACCCTATTCTCACGCTCCAAAGACAACAAATGTTCCTTCACAGGAGCCAACCTTTCGTCCCCAGTCAAATTTTTGCGATAACATACTGAGTATATCACGATACAGACCGACAAAATCGACCCAAATTTAACTGGAGCACCAGCCATTTTGATACATAAAACTTCACTATAAATTGGAATGTGCAATTAGTTAACTGATGATAATACTCCACGTCACCTCATATTTAACTACAGTTGTAATTTACGATCTCCACGCATATTGTCTAAAACTTAGCAGAATAATTCAAATATTGACTTGCCGAGCGAGAAGCAAATAATGACATTTGTTTGATGACGTTTCAAATGGTTGCATTATATTCGCGTTAAAAATGTCGAGTATTTTATGAAAGAAAGAGAAACATACGATAGACTTTTGTATGTACCGTAAATGAATGATGAAGTTGGGCCAATATTGTCCAGTTTCTTATTTAGAAAATAAGGGTTTTTAGTTGTTCAATATTTTATTTTATAAAACCGTACAGACTTCATTGGAAATACTTAAACGATAATTAATTCTAATACAAAGGATATTCAATTTAAAATCACTTAGGGTCGTATTCTAGAACTGTACCTACTCAATGCTCAAGTCAGGACTTGAGCAGACTTGAGTATGCTTTCAAGCACTGGAAATACGACCCTAATGGCAAGGACTTGAGTATGATTTCTAGAGCTTTGAATCCTACTCAGATCCTGACTTGAGCATTGAGTAGAGTTCTAGAATACGACCCTAAGCCTCTATTTTGCCAAAGCCTAAATTCGCTACTTTCCTTCTAATTCCTTCGCTAATTTCCATGAGTACGAAAGAGACGGAGAGAGCCGCTTAGGAGAATTTTGTCCGCAACTCCGCGCCTTAGATGAGGTCCGTACTTCGCATCAATTCATAGACGAGTACTAAAGTTTAGATAGCCATCTTGTGGTTTTCATTAAAATAGCGCCATAGTTATTTTGTTCCCACGGGCGAAACTAACTCGTACTAAACCAATATATAGGTAGACATATATATCCAGCGAGTGCCTTTGAGTTCCAGCGAGTGCCTTTGAGTGCCAGCGAGTGCCTTTGACAGCTCGCGAACGCCTTTGAGTGCCCGCAAGTGTCTATAAGTGCCTTTGAGTGCCATTGAGTGCCTTTGCGTGTCTTTGAGTGCTTTTCAGCATTTGAATAAAAGCAGAATGAAAATATTTAGGTACTACTTACTACGACCAGTTATTGTTCTAGAAAAGATAGCACTGTCAGTTCCCTTATACTAACCCGTATTATATAGTAAAGTCTCTGCTTGAAACGTATTACTTCTAATCAGAAGGTATGTTTGTCCATAGCGGAAGGACACTTTTCAATGCTCAACTCTACTCAATGCTCAAGTCAGGACTTGAGTATGATTCAAAGCACTAGAAATCATACTCAAGTTCTTGCCATTAGGGCCGCATTTCAGTGCTTGAAATTATATTCAAGTCCTGACTTGAGATTTTTTTTTAATAAAATATAAGTGCGCATTTGACCTCCATCTCACCTGATGGAAAGTGACAATGTGGTCGACGATGGTACGTGCACACCTAAATAATCCCTATTTACTCTCGCCTTGAAAAGAACCAAGTCATAACGTTTAGGAAACAAGTCTGCAGGCAGCGAATTCCACTCCAAAGCCGTTCGCCATATAAATGTGGAAGCGTAACGCTTCGTACGAATCTTTGGAAATTCCGCATAGATGTGGAACCCAAGCATACGCCTAGTCCCCCGATGATGGAAAGGGGAAGGCGGAATTAAATCGTGTAATTCCATCGCACACTCTCCATGATATATCCTGTAAAGTACCGATAAGCAGGCAACTTTACGGCGGTGTTTAAGGTTCTGCAGCTTCGGCTCTATCAATTTCGAGTCACCTATAAGCCTCTTGGCACGGTTGTCAATTGAATCCAAAGTGGCCAGTTGATATGTAGCAGACCCATCCCAAAGGTGGCAGCAGTAGTGTACCAAGCACAAGTCCGATCGTGCATGGAGATACACGATCGGACTTGTGCTTGGTACAGATGAAGCAACTGTCCCGGTGTAAATTAACGCCTCACTCTGGAAAGGATTCCAAGCTTGCTTGCTGCATTTTTGGCCATGGATTCAATGTATCTGCCGAAGTTAAAATTGGATTGGTTCAAGCAGCTGGAGACAGTCGCCTATCGGTATGGGACTCCGTTTTGTGGAGAATAGACACGCCTGCGTTTTGGTAGCGTTAAATTTTAAAGATTGGCTTCGCCCCAATCGGAGACTGCCTGGAGTCAAATCCAAACGGTTAACCATAGACTCGACAAGACTGGATTTCCTCTCCACTGACCCTTGCATTGGTCAAGTACCTATCTACAACTGTGCTGTCATCAGCATACACCAAGGTACCTCGAATTAACAAATCATTGATATGCAGCAGAAAGAGAGTTGCAGACAGTACGGAACCCTGAGGAACCCCAGCATCTATCGCCATATGTTCGGAAGAATAGCCTTCTAAGACCACTCGAATCGAACGTTCGCTCAAGAAATCCGAGATCCAATTGCAAAGGTCAGTGGGAAGCCCAGAAGAGGGAAGCTTACTTAAAAGGTTTGCGTGCCAGACGCTGTCAAAGACTTTAGAAATGTCGCCTTGCTTTTCTATAGCCTCGCTCCATTGAGTAAAGTTCTGGAATACGGCCCTCCATGTCTGACGGCATTTTTATGCCACGTTACAAAAGGCTACAATAATTTAAAAATTGAAACATTTACTTGATTGGAAAATGGAATCCGTCATTTTATACTTACAAAGAGTCATCGTCAGTAAGCTGCACAGCCAAGCGAACCTACACACGTACCCAAGAGATGGTTAACGTAGTAACGTAACTTTTGGATATGTAAAGTTCACTAAATACAGTTAGTTATAAATTCTCAGTGATATTTGTTATAATGCTGTGGAACGTATAGACGTTCAACCCATAGGGGTTAGTATAATACAATACGCACTTTTAATTGGTGAGTATAAGTAGGTATAAACACAAAGTTCACAAGGAAATGGCTACAACTACAACCAAAATCAGAACAAAAAATGGATACAGTATATATTTTTGAAACTGTGATTTCTCCATTTTACAAAAACCTTTAAGTAATTTAATTTTGAGTAAAACTCGCGAAATGCATCGAGGACATGTGGGTTGAATGTCGTCTTCACTCCCACGGGTCAACATCGATAAAATATATGTAAATACGAAACCTCTTTTTGCTTATCAGCGCCCGCCGAGTCCGCTGCACGATGCTTCTTGAAAATATTTTGGAAAGTCGAAATTCGCATCCCTATAAGGTGAGACCGGTCCCTCCCTAAATGGAAGGACATAAGATGTTATGAGCTTTAGGCGTAAATTGTTTGTGTCACGGTGTAATTTTTGCGATTTATTTTATCCACTTTGTAAAATTTAATTAAGTTGCCCGTATTTAAAAATGTATAATTAGTGGTGTTCCACGGGGAAAGCGTTTTGGCATCCTACGGTTGTTCAATACACACTGACGTGGTGTAACTATTTCCGAAATCGAATCCCAGCAAAAATATACTGTCCGTTGTAGTACTAAAGATCTTTCCAGTCGAAATACCAAGAAGCTGCAGTAATGAGGATGAAGCAACAACGGACAATTTATAAAGATAACCTTTGAGAATTTATGCTTAACTTACTCTTACAAAGATAAGTATTTACTGAAATATATGGTATTACAATTGCTCAAGACGTGGTGCTTTTTAAACGGTAAACTGTGTATGAAAAGTGATATTGGTGTAGGTATTAGTAAAATTATTGCCAAATATGGCTAGTTTTTTTGCATAGCAGTTAACGTATTTAGCAAATATTACGAATTATAAAAAAAATATTTGTTGCGACTTTTAAAATTCTGTATACTAGAACACATAGAAAAATGCCTTATTCTCTCGCAAACGTACGTTGCGTTTATTCCAAATGTCGTGACGATTAAACCCTTGCCTACCTCGTTTGTAATAATGTATGTACTTACTAACTTAGTTACATTTACATGAGCTTTAATGTAAGTGCCTACTTTAACAGATGCACCGTTATTGGCAACTGTTTGGAGTTCATAGCGATGAGATTCAGACTATAGCCCCTATTGCCAGACGTTGATAGTGCAGCCGTCCCCAAAGCGTGTTTTTCTTCATACTATCTATTGTAAAATGTACTGTTTAATAATATATTTTTTTAATCTTTTCAAAATTAAACAGTGTCTAAAACTCGCTCGTTAACACGTACATTTTCGAAATGATTTAACTACGGCTTCCAGAATAGGAATTGTAACTGTTGCCTTCGCTCATAATGTAGAGACAAACAAATGCCTTTGCTTGTTCTGTTTGATGTCCAAACGCAATGTTATTATCCTAAAATAAATAACAATACCTCGTACCATTTTCTGACCTAACAATTAAGACTATTTACGGCAAAAAGTTGCCAAAAATGGTGACAATATCCGAAAATGGATGTCACGTATTGTTGCCGCTAAAAATGCACGCGCAGATGAAATCTGTAATGGTGTAACAGTCTGGCGCCAACACGACAACCGCTGAAACTGAGGACCTACGACTAAACTACATTAAAAAGGTCTTATAGCAAAAATTTTGTAATAGTCTTGAAATTTCGTTTATAATACGTCTTTCGCGTAAAACGTAAACAATGTAACTTGCATGAACCATAACTAATTATCACTTGACTTCTGCCATTGGGGAGCATGAAGGTCACTTTTTAACCGACTTGAAAAACGGAGGAGGCTCTCAATTCGACTGTATTTTGGAACCGATTTAGATGATTCTTTTTTGTTAGAAAGAGGGTACCTCCGTATTGGTCCCATGTAAATTTAAAGAAAATATTCCACCTCTAAGGGTGGCAAACTAGGGGGTGAATCCTGTTTTGGGTACTTTCCGGTAACCGATTTCAATAAAACTTGGCAAACAGATGTAATAATTAAATTTTTATTGAATTGATATTCAATTATTTTTTGTGAAATTACTCCACTAGTTTGTTATAATTATTAATACAAAGATCGAACACTCAGAAAAAAATCCTTCGGATCGAGGTTGAAAGACCAAGTGCAAAGACACGACGCAAGCACATAGAAAAATTCGTGAGGTCCGTTGGTTCGTTCCGTGGCTTAGTTGGTATAGCGTCTGGCACGGTATGCAAGAAGACGTCTCGGTTCGAATCCGACCGGATCGAAGGAATTTTTTCTGAATGTTCGATC